GAGCCTCTGCGGGGGGCTTCTGAGAGGCAGACGGCCGTGTGAGCCCTGCTCTGGCTGACCTGCCTGGAGTCAGAGCTTGGGGCTCCCACCTGGGCAGAGCCAGCGCCCCCTCGTCCCACAGGTGCTTCTCAGGCTCCAGGGGCTGTGCCCACGGTCATGGCGATGGTGCGGGGGAGGGCAGGCATGTCGGCCCCGGGTCTCTCCCTCCTCGCTGGACTGGGTGGGCCCAGGGGCCCTGACCCTTCTGTCCTGCAGCCAACAAGACCCCTGACAAGCTGCAGCAGGTGGCCCTGCCCCTCGTGTCCAACGCCGACTGCAAGAAGTTCTGGGGCAGCAAGATCACTGACGTGATGGTCTGCGCCGGGGCCAGTGGCGTCTCCTCCTGCATGGTGAGGCGGGCCCTGCCCAGACTCTGCCAGGCCAGGGGGCTGCAGGGGAGGCCTGGGCTTTCCACCCCTCTCTGCCCTCATCTAACCCCACTCCTTCCTGGTGTCACAGAGTCACCTTGTTGCAAAATTGCACCATCAATATCAGAGCATATGGCTCTTGGAGTTGTGCAGTGCACAGCCTGGACAGTGGACCCAGCAGGATAGCAGGCTCAGCAGCCCTCCCCTTCACACAGACCCCTTGGCCAGCCCCACCATGTTCTTCCTATTGGTCAATACGCCTTTACTGAGCTTCCACTAAAGGGTCCCATCCCGGGGTTTGCTCAGACTTCCAGGGGCACGAACCACACAAGCAGCTGCTGGAGTCTTTCCTAACCCATGCGACAGCATGTGCTGAGCCTCTGCTGCGTATGGGGTCCTGGATTGGGCTCTGGGAACAATGTCCAGTCTGCCTGGGCTACCAGATCCGAGCCCCCTTCTCCCTCTCCCACAGGGTGACTCTGGCGGCCCCCTGGTCTGCCAGAAGGACGGGGCCTGGACCCTGGTGGGCATCGTGTCCTGGGGCAGCAGGACCTGCTCCACCTCTAGCCCCGGCGTGTATGCCCGTGTCACCAAGCTCATGCCCTGGGTGCAGGAGATCCTGGCCGCCAACTGAGCCCGCAGCTCCCTCAGACCCTGCTCCCCACAGAGCCTCAATAAACCCATGGTGCACATTTCAGTGCTGGCTGCCTCCTGTTTTGGGGCCTCCAAGGCCTCACTCCACTCCTGAATTTGGGCCCCCCTGGGCTGGATTGGGCCAAGCCAGCCAGGCATGCGGGGCCTCTGGGAGGTCCCTTCCCTAGGCCCCTTCCCCACCACTTGGCTCCTGCATCCCCCAGAGTGGCCAGGAACACACAGGCAGATGACAGGGTGCAGAGATGGACGGGGGATCTGGCTGGTCAGGCCTGGGTGGACCTTGGCCCCATCCTCAGCACCTGTCCCCAGGCAGCAGGGTTCTCACCACCCACCTTGCTCCCTTGCTCAGGGCCCTGCAGGAGGGCGTGGGAAGCCAGAGGACAAGCTCACTCTGGCCCCACATACCTGCAGCTCCAGGGAAGGGCCACCAGACATATGCTGGTGCCAGGAGCACTATCACCCCGAGGGCGGGTGACAAGGGGGCAGTGGCAAGGTGGGCCGTGATTGGTGGGCTCAGGGACAGGAGGGGCACCCCTGGCACCCATGGCCTTTCTCTGGATCACTGGGCTTCCCTCTCTCTGGCACTGACTCTTAAGTGAGAGGCTCAGGCAGGCTGGGAGCCACAGGTCAAACCTGCCCATCTCCAGCCCCAAATGCCCAGAAACAAAAAGCCAAACCATGCCATGTCATGTTGAGGGGACCACATTCTCCGTGGCCAGATCCTCCTCCCCTTCCTCCTCACACCCTGCTGGTCCCCCTGTCCCCTCAGGCCCCTGCCTCCACCCCCTGGGCCGTGCCTGGGGCATCTGTTTCTTCCCTCCCTCAGCCCCCGCACCCTCAGGCCCTCCACACCCTGAATTCTGCCTCCCGAGGGTCTCCCAAATCCATGCCTTTTGCCCACACCCACCCCTGTACCCTCTAGACTTGGGCAGCCTCCTGGGTTTGTATCCCCAGGCCCCACACCCCAATCCCCCCAGCCATTGACTCAGAGCCCATGGGAGCACAGGGCCCTAGCGAATTCAGCCACATGTCCCAGCACCCTGGGCTCAGAGCGGACAGACACTCTCTTAGGTGCACAGTGGCCCAGGGGAGCAGGCAGGTTGAGAGGGCAGGAGGTAGCTGAGGGCACTGCAATAGCCAGCACTCTGGATGCCAGCAGGCGGGTGGGGGCTCTTCATCCTGGCACCTCAGGACACCATCAACTGCCAGCTGAGCTGCTGCAACCCCAGCAACCCCAGCCATGGGGTCCCCACCATTTACCCTGTGCTCAACAGCCTATCCAGGATGTCAACAGGGAGGATGCCATCCCTAGCTCCCGGGCCTGGCAGGTGTCCCTGCAGATCAGAGGGGGAGCCTGCTCATGCCTGGGTGGTGGCCAGGCTAGAGGCTGGGGGAGGTTTAAAACAATTTTTATTAATGTATAAATAGAAACTTGGGTCTCACTATGTGGCCTGGCCGGTCTTGAACTCTTGGCCTCAAGTGATCCTCCTGCCTCAGCCTCCCAACATGCTAGAATTACATGGACCTCGCCCATCAGGTCACCCCTGACCTTGTGGGAGTTGCCAGCCCTTCTGTCCTCCCAGGACAAAACTGGCTTCCACTTTTGCGGTGGCTCCCTCATCAGCAAGGACTGGGTGGTCACCGCTGCCTACTGTGGGGTCAGGTGAGGCTTGAGCAGTTGGCCCCCCCGAGGTGTCAGGGAATGACGTTCACCCCTTCTCAACCCCAACTACACACTGCAACCAGCAAGAAAATGGTCAGAAACAAACTGCAAGCTGGGGAAGCAGCGCCCCGTCCGCGGGCCCCAGGCAGAGCCAGCGCCTCTGCAGGAGACACCCACCCTGGGCTGTGCACCCCACCTACAGCTCTGCACATCCTCAGGCCACCCGGACCGCAGCTTGGGGAAACCTGAGAGGTCCCACGCCCTCACTGTGCAAGGCAAACTGGGACCCTTAGTGAGAAAGGGATGCTTTTCTGTGTCCTCGGCTAGCTGCTGCATGGGATTCAGTGGCCAAGCAGGGCTCACCCCAACTGGCTCACTTCCTGTGCACCCCCACAAGCCCAAGCACTGTTTGTCACTCTCTCTCTCAAGAAAAAGCCACCGTATGGTGGCTGGAGAGTCTAAGCTTGGCTCACCGAGTCCATCCAAGTGCTGAGGATGGCTGAGGCAAGGCCACGCAGGCAGGCAGAGGAGTTGGCTCGTGAGGCCACAATGGGACACACTGGCCTCTGGGTAAGGAGATGAGTAGGTGCAGGGGACCCCACCCAGCTGGCCTGGGCCTTGCCTGCCCCCGTGGCTGCCAGGGCCTATGGGCACCTACCTTCCCCACTCGGGCTCCCGCTTTTCTTCTCCTTCCCAAGTCCTAAAGCTCCTGAAAGCATCCTGACAGGTGTCTTCCATGATTAAGTAAGTTTCGCTCATTATGGAAAAACGTGGAAAGGCAATCATTAAATATCACCACGTGCCACAGGCCATTCCCCATCAATCCCCATGGACTCCACCTGTCCAGCCCAGCCCTGTTCCTTACTCAATGTATACCCAGGATTCTCCAGCCCTCCGATGGAAGCCTAGGCTCCCCATTCCTCTCTGCCCTCCTTCCTGTGACTAACAAGGGCCAGGCCTCAGGCTCACAGCTTCCTGAACCAGGCAGCTGAGGCTGCCCTGGGGACTTCCTCCTCTCCCCAGCCCTCTGAGCTGGAAGGGTCAGCTCATGGGACAGACAGCGCCCCAGCACTTGCCCTGGCTGCCTCCAAGGGGGATGGCAGAGCTGGGGCTGCCATGTGCACCCAGACCTCAGGACTCCCTGCGCCCATGCTTGCCATTGCTCTGCACTCCTCCCTGGACTCTGCCAGGTCTGGGTCCCCTAGGCCCCGGCACCCAGTTCAGTCCTGGAGACACCTCCTCTCCTTCCCACAGGGCAACTCCGGCAGCCCTTGCCTGCCAGGACCGATCCTGGAGCCTGAAGGGCATCGTGTTGTGGAGCGGCACCAGCACCTCCCATCCTCACTGGGCCTGCATGCCCGAGTCAGGAAGCTCATTCTCGGGCAGGTGTGGAGGCTGAGACCCTTCCTACCCCACACCTGTGTAAAACACAAACAAAGCCACGAGAGCAACTGCACACACCTTTACTTGTGTCCTCAGCCAGGCAGGTGGGCTGAGTGTGCTGTGGGATGGATGCTGTCGGTGGCTCCCTCTGTGAAGGTGGATCAGGAGGATTTGTAGATCACCCAGCCCTACCCACTACTTTGTACAGATGGGGAAACCAAGGTCCACATTCATATGCAGAGTGGTCAGGGCTGGGAGTTGCAACAGGGCTTCAAGGCACCCTGGAGCCTCCATGTGGCCTGTGGGCTGCTGGTGGGGGAGCCACCAGAGGGACGCACTTGCCCAGGGCAAGGGCCTTCTCTGGGCCCTGCTCTCAGCTTGGAGGCCAGTCCATGTATAATTCCAGCAGTGCGCTTTGGGAGTTCCACAGGCTGGGATGAGATTAATTTAAGCAGAGCTCTGGATGCAGCCCTGTAGTGCCCTCGGCTCATGGGAACCCGTGACTCCCCTCCTGCCGCTGGTCCTGCCCCACCTGCCCTTGCTCCAGATGCTGGCTGTAGGCACGGGCGGTGCTCGATGTGGTACCTCCCAGGACTCAAGGGGGCCACACCCAAGCTGTACCTTCCGGGCCTTAGACCCTGCAGCTCCAAAACTGTCCCCAACTCCTCTCAGGCACAGGCTCTGCCCTGGCTCCCAAGGCCTTGTGGCCAGCCACAGACCTCACCCCGGCAGGAAGACACCTGGCCTCGGTGCCCCTTAGTTTTCTTCTGGAGGGACCCACCTCTCCTCCGCCCTCCTGGGAGTTCCCCTGTGTGGCCCTTGCCCCTCTGTGCCTTCCCTGAACCGTTACCCGCCCCAGGCTACTCTCATCTGGTACCCTCAGACAGCTGCTCTTCATTTTAAAAACTTTATTTAAATGGAGACTATTAGTCAAATGATTGGAAAATCAATAATGAAAAATAGTTCTTCAGGGTCTTCTCCTGGTGAGGCGGAGGACACACCAAACTGCACTGGCCCCGTCAGGCCACAGGACACCCTCTGGGAGCCAGGCTCAGCCCTTGGGTGGCACGAGGTCCTGCAGTACACGATGGGGGAGGCCACTGGCTGGCCCCTGGGCTTCGGCTCCTCTGAGGGGACATGGCTCTATGCCCTGCCCAACCATAAATATATACATATCCTGGGCATACAGAGCGCCAGGCCCGAGGCACAGCTGGGGTCCTGTCCCCAAGCCTGCGGCACAGCTACTCTTGAGAGGGGGGCCGGGGAGCTGGGGCCACCACACCCTTCTCCTGCCCCCATTTGGGGGTCACTGCCCTCAGGCAGCTGCCAGCTGGCCCAGGACGCGGCGGAACTGCTGGGTGCTGTGGCCCAGCTCCTTGACCCTCTCCACCATGTCCTGGGCAGCAGAGGGTGATGGGTACTGCAGGGCGGCAGCCTTGGTGGTGGCCACGATGCCACGCAGGAGGTCACACAGCAGGTTGCTGTAGTGGGTCACCTGGCTGCGCACGTCGGCCGCCTTGGCCTGCCGAGACAGTGTGTCCCCGATGAAGACCAGCTTGTGGGCGCTGAGGATGACGAACTTGCTATGTGCCACGAAGATCTTGGGCGGCTGGTTGGTGGCCACAGCAGTGAAGAAGGCGTCCACGGCATTGGTCAGCGTGGTCAGGTTGGCCTCACACTGTTCCAGATAGAAGAGCAGCAGCTGCCGGTCCGAGGGCCCCAGGCTGCCCGTCCGCCCCGGGGCCAGGGGCTGGGCCGGTGTCCAGTTGGCCAGGTCATGGTCTATGGGCCGTGATACCTCCTGTTCCAGGCGTTCAAACTGCTTCAGCTGGGGCGGGAGGGAAGCAGGAGCAGGGTTAGGCTCCCGGGCGAATTGGAACCACAGGCCAAGATCTGGACTTCTCTAAAAAGGGCTGCTACTTGGAGTGAATGGGACTGGGGGGATGGGCAGTCTGCAATGCTGGGGAAGGGACCAGGAGCCATGACAAGCCTTCTGCAGGCCTTCCGTTACCTTTCCACCAATCTCAAAAGGTCAGACTCCATGCACTGAACATTTTGAAATGACAAGATGCAATAGAACAGTGGCTGCCTGGGGCTGGGAGTGTAGGTGTCACCACCCTGGCTTGGGTCCTGTCCCATGTGACTTCAGATGTGGCACTGGGGAAACTGACTATCTTTGCAACTTCCTGTGAATCTATAAATATTTCGAAATGGAAAGTTAAACAAAATTTCTCCTTAGTTCAAAAGTAACATACACATTACAAAGATTCAAACCTACCAAACAAAAAAGGAAGATGTCACCTGTGATCCGATGCCCCTAAATACCACCTCTGCTAAATCATCTTCCAGAGCTATATATGAAAGTGAACGCTTCACCTCACAGCTGCATGTGCCTAGGAGCCGGCCGAAGGGGTTAGGGTTAGACCATCAGTGGAGCTGCTCTGGCCCCGAAGTGCCCCGCTATACCTGGACTCAGGACAGGCAAGCTGGGTCCCACCCTAGGCGCAAAGCTCCAAGCCAGAATGAGCCAAACCAACAGGAAACCTCCCTTTCCTAACTCAATCTCGCACTACCCCTGAGGCAGCTACTTGGTGAAATCCTTCATCTCTCGGTTCTCTTAGCCAGCTGAGAATATACTCAGCTTTTTTCTTTGAAAAGCTCCGGCAAGGCAGGGCGACATGGCTCGTGTCTGTGATCCCAGCACCTCAGGAGGCCGAGGCAGACAAATCACTTGAGCCCTGACAGAGCACAGGTGACAAGCTCTGGTGGCTCTTTTTTTCCCCCAAAACTATTTTTATAAAGACAGAGTCTTGCTGTCACCCAAGCTAATTTTTTTTTTTTTTTGAGATGGAGTCTTGCTCTGTTGCCCAGGCTGAAGTGCAATGGCACAATCTTGGTTCACTGCAACCTCTGCCTCCCCGGTTCAAGCGATTCTCTCACCTCAGCCTCCCAAGTAGCTGGGATTACAGGTATGTGACACCATGCCCGGCTAATTTTTTTATTTTTAGTAGAGATGGACTTTCACTATATTGGCCAGGCTGGTCTCAAACTCCTGGCCTCAAGTGATCTGCCCACCTTGGCCTCCCAAAGTGTTGGGATTACAGGTGTGAGCTACCGTGTCTGGCCACAATTTTTAATATATAGAGACTTGGGTCTCACTATATGGCCTGGCTGGTCTCAAACCCTTGGCCTCAAGTGATCTTCCTGCCTCAGCCTCCCAAAGTGTTAGGATTACAGGTGTGACATTTATTCTTTTCCTGTTTTAATAGAGTTAACAGGGGGTACAGGTACGGTTTTATTATGTGGGTACACTGACTGGTGGGAAAGTCTGGGCATTTAGTGTGGCCACCACCCAGTGTACACTGTACCCATTAGGTAATTTCTCAACCCTGCCCTGCCCCATTTCTGAGGTAACCTTTTCTGAGTGTTCTCTATGTGCCCTGCCCCATTTCTGAGGTAACCTTTTCTGAGTGTTCTCTACGTGCCAGGCACTTTCCCAGCATCTTCCACTCTGAGTCTCAATGAGCTCTGATGAGGCGGCAGCAGCCTCAGCTGGGGAAGTGCCATGTGGTGTGGGTCTCAGGCCCTCCGCTCTGCCACCTCCTCCAGGCCCAGATGGTGGGCAAAGGAGCTTTGACAGGTGATAGTTTTATGTTCACTTCGTGCTATCCTCTGTTTTCACTTTTAAAATTATCTTCATAATCAGAATAAAGCCCCCTTAGTATTTTTTTAAATATCCCTTTTCTGCCCTTAGGAAATGTTTCAAAATATGAAAAAAAAATTCTATTGATATGTCTGTATATAGACATAGCAGTATATTTATAATGAGGGACCAGAGGCAGCAGCTCACACTTGAATTAACCTCAGCACTTTGGGAGACCAAGGCAGGTAGATCACTTGAGCCCAAGAGTTTCAGATCAGCCTGGGCAACATGGTGAAACCTCATTTCTACCAAAAATACAAAAATCAGCCAGGTGGGGTGGCGGGCACCTATAATCCTAACTACTTGGGAGGCTGGGGCAGAAGAACCACTTGAGCCCAGACGCTCACAAGGCTGAGGCTGCAGTGAGTAGAGATTACACCACTGTACTCTAGTTTGTGCGACAGAGCAAGACTCTGTCTCAAAAGATAAAATAACACTAAGAAGTACAGGTACAACATAAACATTAAATAAATGTTATGCGGTCTTTGAAAGAATCCATGAAGAATGCTTCATGCCATGGCAGATGCTGGGACAGAAGAGTCGAATGCCCACAGGACACTCTCCTGGACACGCAAGGAGCATCATGAAGAAGGGGGCAGGGCAGAGCCAGCCCCATGCCAAGCCTGTGCCAGCTGTGAGGGGGTCTGTTTTTTGCTCTCACCTCCCTCTCCCTCTTTAAATGGCTCCAACAGTTACTCTTGAAAACTTTAAACCAAATGAAAAGATGAAGACGCTCAGGGCCAGGGCCTCACCTGCTGCAGCTCCAGCTGACTCTTGCCCTGCCGTGTGATGCTGCCCTTTTCCAGCAGCTCCTTCTGGGTCTTCTCAAACTCTTCCTTCCCCTGGAGGGAAGACACAGGGGCTGCGCTGAGGCCAGTTCTTGTCTGTGCCAGAAGCGGAGGCCAGCCCCGTGAGATGCAGAGAACTGAGTGTCCACCAGGTGGTACTGTGCGTGCACGTGTGTGTATGTATACACACACACTAGCACACGCAGACACACCCCCAGGCTGGCACATGTGGGGGCAGACACACACACCCCACCCCAGGCTGCCATATGTGGGAACACACAGACCCACAACCTCTAGACTGGCATATGCCGTGACACACACAGCAAAGGTGGCTTCCCAGGAAGCAGTGCTGGCCGCCCCTTTCACTGTCTGCCAGGCCAGGAAGCGGCAGGGCACCTGAGAAAGGCAACACCACTCGCTCCACCCTGCCTGCCCAGGCTCCCACACCAGAAACCAAACCAAACCAGTCCCCCTTGGCCTAAGGGCTTGGCCACCTGCTGCTCCCTGCCTCAGGATGCCTTTCTGGCCCAGCTCAGCCTAGAAGGCTTCTTACCGGGACTCTTCGCCCAGCTGGCACACAGGTCTCTGCTCCAGGGCCTGGCCTGGGAGGAGCAGCCCCAGCCACCTCCCACTGAGCCCCCACCCTCAGGGCATCTTTCTGTGTATGTACATTTCTGCAGGTCTGTCTCCCCACAAGGAACAGAGCCACCACTGCTGGTCACCAGAGACACCAGCCCAAGGGGCTGAATGCAGGACTCAGTGACACGGCCATGCTGGCCCACAGGGGTGATGTGGGGTGAGGAAGGCTGGAGGGTGCAGGGCCTCGCCAAGGACCAGGCTCCAACCGGGGACACGTCACCCCCTGAGCACAGGAGCCCCGAGCTGGGGAGGAGGAGCAGGGCAGAGGTGGAGCCGGGGCTGGGCAGGCGGCACCCACCTGCAGGTGGACGTAGTCATAGTCCTCCATCCAGCCACCCTCGCTGTTCTCGTATTGCCCATCAGGCGAGTCCTGGGAGGTGAACTTAGGGGGTGAGGGCAGGGGCCGTGACTGGATGCTGCTGGCCTTGTCAGTGGGGTTCGGATGAAGGGTGCCACCCCCCTCGGGCCCCAGCGCAGGGGCCTTGGTCCGTCTGAAGAGCAACGAGGCGTTGCCGTGCAGGAAGGAGGCCAGCTGCTTGGCGTCCTCGGGCACGGCCCTCGAGCAAGCCACCAGCCGGTCCAGGTCTTCAGGGGTAGCTCCCAGGCCTCCCCGGCCACTGTCAAGAGCCTGACCATGTGCCACCAGTGTCTGGTGCACATCCTCCATCTTCTGCAGTTGCCGGCTAAGCTTGGCATGCAGAGCACGGTCAGATGTGTGAGCAGCATTGCCAACAGCACTGCGGGCGAACTCCAACAGCTCGTGGACGGCACTCTGGACAGCAGCCACAGCAGCCCGCAGCTCCTGTACCAGTGGCTCCTGTGGCTCAGGGGTGCTGTGCCAGCTTCTGGTCCCACCGGCACTGCCTGCCAGGTCCAGGAGGTGGGCAACGGTGGCGCTCACACCCTGCTGCAGCCGAGCCAGGGCCTCCACAGCGACTTCTAGCTCCAGAGGTTCTCGGCCCGGCCCCGCCACCTCCAAGGAGGATGCGGACTGGCTGCTGCGTGTGCTACCGGTGCTGGAGGCCGACAGGCGCTTGCCGTCCACTGGGGCCTCGCGCTCAGCTGGGGGAGGCACCGCATACACACCATCATCAGCCGCACCACTGTCGGCCACCTCAGGAGGAAGGACCCGTTCACGGGGCACGTCGTACAGGGTGCCCGGGCCAGGCCGCCGCAAGCCAGGGGGCACGTCATAGAGGTCAGGAGCTGGGGGCGGCACGTCATACACGTCCTCAGCCGGCGGGGAGTCTAGAGGGGGCGCAGCCAGCACCAGCGGGGTGCGGGTTGGGTCAAAGGGCTTGGCCTTGGCGAAGGCCGGGGGCACATCGTAGGTTTCCTCACGCAGCAGCGGGCCGTCGGGCACGTCCTTGCTCACTGATGGAGGAACGTCGTAGACCTGGGGGACAATCGGCGATCAAGGCTGTCCGTCCATCCATCTGCCACCCCAAGGGCTGGGGGCAGCACCCAGCCTCCCCCCGCCCCACACACACACGCAGCCCTGGTGCACACACCCTTCAGGATTCCTATCCATGACAGCTCCAGGATGAGCCCCTGTGCCTGTCTGCTCGCCTGAAGGTGGGAGAGCTTCCTCCCAAAGAATTCCACATGTGTTAATGCACACAACTGTCACTGTAGACACTCACTGAAAGCTCAGCTGTCATACTGCACTGCCACCACCACTGTATCATGATCTCATCACCACCATCGCTGTTGCCACCCGCCGCCACCACGTGTAAATTTTCTACTCTGCAGCAGGTGTGTGGCTGAGCTGTGTGAATTATCAGGGGGACCAAATTATGGTTTGCCCAGGACAGTCCTGGTTTGTCCTTGATGCTCCTGCATAATTACTAGTACCCGCTTCACTCTTCAAAGCATCCCGGATGAGATGACACACCCCGTGGTCACTTTGCGGATACTCTCTCAGGGACTCATGGAGAAGGCCTTGCAATGGGCAGTTCTGCAGACGAAGAATCTGAGGCTCAGAAGAGAGCTCGGTTTCCTCATCTGTCAATGATCCAGTGAGGGACAGAACAGGGCCTGAAACCAGTCTCTTCCTGGCCAGTGCCCCCAGCCCTGCAGACATTGCCTGTCACCCCAGTGTGCACACCCCGACACCACACAACCTGAGCCTGGCCCTGGCATTGGCTCACCGCGTGGTGGCTGGACAGCGGCAGGCCCTTCTCCACGCTGGGGGGCACGTCATATACCTCCAGCAATGGGGCTCGGCCATTGGGACCCTTGACGGCCATGGGGGGTGTGTCATATACCTGGGGGCAGAAACAGTGCAGGGTTAACGGTGCTAGCGCCACTTGGGGGAATGGAAAAGGGGGAAACCCTGCAGCCCGGCCCCCAGGCCTGGCTAGGGCTGAGAAGATGCAGTTCCCTACCCAGGGCCGAGTAGAGGCACAGACTCGCCACCCCACTCTCCACCAGCCGAACACCCCACACCTACCTCCTGGCCATACTGGCTGGGAAGCAGCCCCCGAACTGGGGGCACATCGTAGATGTCCTGGGGCCCCAGGGCCAGCAGGTGTCGCGGGATGTCATACTCGTCCTGCTCTGGCTGTGTGGCCTCATATACATAGCCCTGCCCCACACGGGTGGGCACCACCACCTGGGGACAGAGAGCCAACTTTACAGCTGCCCTCGAACCTGCCCTCAGGATCCCCTGGGTCCTCAGGGAGGCTCCACTCACACCTGGGAGCCTCGTCATTTTTGGAGGTAGGCAGGGCACACCAGGTGGTAGGGATGGGGCTCTCGAAGGCACCGGTTCTCACTCCCTCTGCATCCGATGACCTTCCTCCAGTGGAAGGCAGTACCGGGTACAGCAAGACCCCTGGGTTTTATTCAGAACTGCCTGGTCCTGGGCCAGGACACCAACGTCTCTACAGCCGGTTGACCCGGAAGGCTCCACAGCAGAGCATGGGAGTGAGCTGATGACGTGGAGGGGAGGGGATGACACCGGCAAGGTAAGGGGCTGGGACCCTGGCTCTGGAGGGTACTACCCACAGGCAAGGACCCCCATTACTGGGGCGCCCAGCCCCGCAGGATGAAAGGCCACAGAGGAGGCCTCGGAGCCTGCTGTCCACACCACCCAGCTGTAGTCTCCCCGGAAAGGTTGGCCCAGCACGGGACTGCGCCCAGCCCAGGACCAGACAGAGCCATAGCCCCTCCAGGCCCCTTCCCCCATAGCACAGCGTGCGGAGACTCTGGAGGACAGGGCCAGAGGGCCAGGTCGGGTATGTGCTGGGGGCGGTGCGGCAGCTGGAACCAAGGCCCCCTCCCTGCCACACCTGTCCCGGGGAGCTGCCTGCAGCAAGTAAGACCCCTGGTGACCTGAAATGAGGAGGCTCAGCAGGGGAGGCAGGTCCAGGGCCAGCCCTCCCCTCCCCAGGTGCTCTTACCCTGGCCCAGAGCCCAGAAAGGCCAAGGCCCGAACAGTGCAGAGGCAGGCAGCGCAGGAGCAAGCCCAGGGCCACGCTGCCTCTCACCAGCACTGGTCTGAAGCGGGTGGGGGTGATGCCAGGCAGCCTTCTTTCCCAAAGGTCTCCTTGCCTTGGGGAGTATGAGGCCTCCCTGGTGAGATTCTCTAGACCCTGGGCATACCTCGCCCACACAACTCCAGCACCAGGCTCCCTGTTCAGCTCTCTCCAAAGAAAAGCCTTTTGTTCCCTCATCAAAGGGGACGTCTGGGATAGGGCTGACTTGGGGCCTCCCCGCACATCCCTGGGGGCAGCAGCGCCAAAGTAGTCCCTCCCTTGGGTCCAGAGCCCCTGAATCCCACGAGGCCCTCCCAATGCAGGCAGGCAGCCGGCTCTGCTGGCTGAGGGTGCTATAAGGGTACACTGGGCGTGGGGGTGGTGGAGGTGCCCGACACCCAGGCCTGGCAGAGCCTCTTGTGGCGCTGCAGAGCTGGGCAGGAACGCTGGGTCCACTGGGCCTCCAGTGCGCCTGGCAGCGGAGCCCTGCAGGCTGGGGGCCTCCTTGGGGCGTCCCCGCCCCGCTCAAGTGCGTCTGGGAGTGGATTTGGCGGCCGCCTCTCCAGACTCATCTCCCTCCACGCGCCCCAGACTTGAGTCTCCTCCAGAGCTATTTTTAGATTCAGGGACCTGCCAACAGTGGGGCAGGCGGGGCAGAGGGACGTGGCAGGTTGGCTGGGCCTCTAGGCAGGGCCCGAGGCTTCTCTAGGCCTCCCAGCCTCCTGAAGGCAGGTGGGGACCCGGCTCCAAGGCTTAGCCAGGACCCAGCACCAGCAGGAGGAGTGAGCACCCTCCATCCCACCCTCAGGCGATGAGGCTCAGGGATGCAGCTGGACCCAGGCTTCCCCAGGCAAATGGACGCCTGTCACTACTGCAGCTGAGTCGGGTGGCAGTAGGCAGCCACAGTGACCAAATGTTTCTGTTAGAAAAACAGAGCAAGTCAGCCACCAGGGGGATAGGGAAATGACTGAGCCCAGCTGCTAATCACAGGCCACCCTGCAGCACACCTGAGACCCGACTAGCAGGCCCTGGAGCCACCGGGGGTTGTGGGAACACAGCCAGAGCCCAGGAGGAGGGGACAGAGACACAGACCCTGACAAAAGACCCACACGGTCTCTGACACTCACTCACATACCTCATACAATGCAGAGAAAACACAGCACAGGCCCACTGCCAGGTGCATATACAGAGCCAGGCAGCACGGGGCCCACCAGGGCCAGGGCTGTGTCCTGCTGCCTCTCTCTTCCCTCAGGATGAGGGATCAAGCGGGGGAGACCAGTGAACTCAGGAACACATCCCTGCCTCCCAGTCAGGGCACAAGAGGCAGGCGTCAGGGGAAGGGGATAAGGTGGGCCCCTGGCCGACCGCTCAGTGGCTGGCCTCCCCCTTCTGCAAAATGGGTGTCGCCCATTTTGTATTATTAGTACAGATGGGGTTTCACCATGCTGGCCAGGCTGGTCTTGAACTCCTGAGCTCATGATCTGCCCATCTCAGACTCCTAAAGTGCTGGGATTACAGGTGTGAGCCACCTCGCCTGGACAACAAATACTTCTGGTATCTAATGTTGGATTTACAACTTTGAAATGCAAAACCACGTGTACAAATCTGTGAAACACAGGGAAGCTGCTAGACAAAATATGCCAGAATTTCCCAGTGATTACCTCTTGATTAGAAAATTTCGTCTCCAGACTTCTTCATACATTATGCATTTTCTACAGAAAATAAGCATTGCTTTTGTGATCATAGAACACAAGCAGACACAATCAAGACTGAAGGAGGTTTCCTAGGGGAGAGCAACCGGGTCCAGGACGAAGGGCTCTTCTTCCTGGGCCACCAGCCAGGTCCAGGCCTTGGGACACAGGACTGGGCAGCTCTAGCAGCAGGCCTGGGCAGAGAAGAACCCAGCTGGTTGAGTCCCTGACAAAAATGAGAGCAGGTCCCTTGCCAGAGAGGGAAACAGAACAGCTACCAAAATACAGGCTGGAGGCCAGGCTAGGACTGGGGGTCTTGCTGCTGCTGCTCATCCCACAGGGCTTCTGCTGCCTGTCCCAGCCTCCCACCTGCACCAGGACAAGCTTCAGTGACAAGCTTCACTGCAAAGGTGGAGGAGGGGAGAAGGGGGTGTGACTGGCCTCGGGCATGTGGGGTGTGGATTGTGTCTGTGTGTACATACGCACATGCATTTTGTACATGTTTGTAGGATACTGATAGGTGGCCATGCTTTGCATATGTGGGTGTACACGTGTTTGTACATGTGGGGTGGGGTGTGCATGTGTTCATAAATGTGAGGCGTGCGTAGGCATGTTTGTGCACACATGTCTGCATGGGTGGGGTGCAGGTATGCATCTATGTGGGGTCTGAGTGTGCGTGGGCCATGGCCTGAGGTTCCCCCACAGGGCACTGCCCCCTGCCACCTCCCCAGAGGATAACAGGACCCTGCTCCTCTTGCTAAAGCCAGTTTTGGAGCAGCCTCACCTGGGCAGCCCTGCACCAGCCAGGCTTCTATCTGGAGAGATGGCTGAAGGAGCAGATAGAGCAGGAATCGGGAGACAGTGACTCATGCTCCCCTAGTGGCCAGGCTTGGTGGCCCATGTCCATGGAGTCCCACCTGCCAATGACCTCCCACCAGGTCTCCTGGGTGCAGGCCACCCATGGGCGGGGGTGGGGGTGACTTCCTGCTGACTCAATGCCCAGCTGGCACCAATGAGGTCTCTACACCTCAGCCCTGGGCTGAGTGTCCACTTGGCCACTGTCTCTCTAGACACAGGTGGCTCTAGACGGGATATGGCAAAAACAAAGGCTTGGCTGGGTCCTGGAAAGCTGACCCCACAGAGCCGGGGCTGCTATGTCCCTCGGGAGTGCTGGATGGCAGCATGGGCTGGGTTTCTCAGGTCCTCCTGGTGAGCCCTAAGAAGTAGCAGGCAGGAGAACACAAGAGACCCGGGACGTCTCCTCCACTTCCAGGCCTGGAAACTCCACACCCCAGCTCTTAAGGGGGCTTTGGCACAGTGGAACGGGCCAATCAAAGGTGAGAAAAGGTTGCTCCTGCCACAGCCAGTGGACCTCACCACCCTCTCCAGCTGCCTCCTTCCTACAGGCAGGTGAGCTTGGGAATCAGGGGCCTGTGGACTCGGGGAGCAGGCTTAGGGCCTGGAAGTCAGAGGTCTTGTTCCCAGGCCTAGCATCTCACAGCAAGAGTCCAGGAGGCTCTCAGAGCAGCCCTCCTCTAGCAATCTCAGGGCAGCGTCCTCCCCGGGTCCAGGAGTCACATCCAGATTACCATAAGCACCCACTGGCTCCTAGCATGACCCAGAAATGGAGAGGGGTTGGCCCACAGAGGCAGGGGCAGTCAGATGTGCCAGAACCCCATCCAGAGGCTGACATGTAAATCCAGAGGGTATAGGGCAGCCAGGCATGAGATGGATGGGCTCTCCCCCGTGGGGACCCAGTGACTGCTGACACCATGTGCTAAGCTTCACCTGCCCCTGGAACGCCTCAACAGGCTGCTCCCTGTGGTGAGACAGCCGCTGTGGGGCCATTCACATCCACCTTCCCCTGACAAATGAACACTCCCCACTCACTCACCTCCCACCTTGACCAGAGCCCAGAAACCAGGCCTGAGCTACACCTGTGAGGGCTGCATGACTGAGCCAGGATGGCCTTACCTTTGCTGGGGGCTTTGTGCCCTCCCAGCTGCGGGTGTCCATGGATGGGGGAACCTGGTAGATGTCATGCCCCATCCCAGCAGAAGGTGGCACCTGGTAAATGTCCTGGGCAGGGCCTCCAGGCCCTGGGGGCACCTGGTACAGGTCTGTGGCCGGGCTGGGAAATGGGTGATGGGGCGTCTGCTTTGAGAAGGTAGATGTCTGCTTGGCTGGGGGTGACTGGAACTGAGGGCCGGGGCCAGGGGCTTGGTAGAGGCCTTGCTGAGTCTTGCTCGGGGTGGGCACCAGGTAGACACTGTCAGGCTGGGGCTGGTAGGTGGCGGGGAGCATGGGAGTGTACTGGGAGGTCGGAGGCGCTGGGGCATGGAGGCTTTGTGGGAGGCCGGGCTGGGGCTGGGCAGAGGCAGCGGGAGGACCGGGACCAGGCCCTGCTGGCTTCTTATCGTACATGCCCACTAAGATCTTGAGGCGGTTCCCGGGCACGATGCCCTGGCGCCCGTGCAGTGAGCAGAGCCACCAGCCATCCAAGCCCTGCGTGTCCTGCTCCAGCACTGTCATGATGTCGCCCTTGCGAAAGGAGAGCTCATCCGGGGACTCAGCCACGTTGTCATAGAGGGCTTTGGCCAGTACGTTCTGGGGAGAGAGGACACAGGTGTGAGATGTGCATGGGGCATCATGGGGCTCCCCAACTCCCGCCCCGCTCTGGGGAGGCACCCGGCTTTGATAGTGGGAAAGGAACTTAGTGGAGTTTGGTGAGATCACTGTGTCTTTGCCTCCACTGTCCCCACCTTTCCCAGCGAAAAGGACAGCTGATCCTGGCCTTTCAACTTCACCTGTATAGCAACGCAAAATCCTCTTGGACCACTGCCACTACCAAAACTCCAGGGATGACCCTCAAGATACCCCTAAAAGCCCTACCCAAGGCCACTCTGCTACCTGGACTAACACAGGGAGAACAGCGGTTAATAATGACAGTGCTGCCAGGTGAAAAGAAATTGCAATGGTTCTCTCTTGAGACAAAAGAAAATAATCTAACAAAAAGGACAACTTCTTAGAATAAAAACTGAACGAAAATGACAGGGAACTTCCTTAATAAAGTCCTTCTACCCAAAATCTACCAAAAAGTCAATAATTTAGAAACCTCAAACACCTTCCATAAGGCTGGAAGGGAAACAAGAGGCGCACCCTCCCTGACCAGCCCCATCACCCTCAGCAAACTCTCCCAGGGCATGCTCCACGTGGCACAGGAGCCAAGCAGCCCAACAGGGACTTGGAGGAGGCTGTGGGATCAGAGGCAGCAGGGCCTCTGGGCAAGTGCATGCTTGGAGCCTCGCTGGGACACAGGAGCCTGAGCAGGGAGGCCTCGCAGTTTCCTGCCATGCTTGTTCATCCTTGCCCCTGCTGCCCCATCCAGGTGCCAGGCGCAGGCTGGGTCCAGGGACAGGAGGTCCCAAGCTGGAGAGTGTAGTTGGTTCCAGTAAAAGGTAGGTATGAGGAAGGCACAGGGTGAGACAAGGCCAGGGCTTCGGCCTCTCCTAGGGCAGCAGAGGGCTGCATGGGTTCCACAGGGGTCCCAGACTTCACACACAGGCAAGCCAGGTCCGAGGACAGTGCCAGGCCAGCCGGGCAGTGACCCACACTGGGTTCCAGCCACCCCACCAGCCTGGCCTCAGCTCTGGGCTGCCCTGCAAGGACCCTCCTCGGAGTCTCCTGGGATCTGAGATGTGCAGCCTGGTGTAGACTCTGACTCAAAAATGGGACCTGGGTTCCGGCCAGCCAGTAGCTGTGTGACCATCCCCACTTGGGTCCAAGTCCCATTTATTTTCTGAACTCCATCTGCAAGGAGTGAAACAAGGAAGGGCCATGCCCCCTTGGGCAGAAACAGAAAGCAGGAGCCTGGGCCTTGAGGCAGAGGAGAGGGGTGAGGCCTCTTCCAAGTCCTGAGGGCCCACCCTCCTCCCCTACACCAGCAGGGGCTGGACAGTGCCCCTCTGAGCTCCATCTCCCTGGCCGGCATGGGGGGAAGAGGGTGATGGCACACCAGGCAGCGGCCTGGGCAGGCGGTGGGTGCCCCAGGTCCCAGGAGCAGACGTTCAGACCCCACTGCTCATTTGCCCCAGGGGGGTGTCATCAGCTGGGAGCCCATTTCTCCAGAGCAGCTTGGAGCCTCCGGCCCCTAAAACAGCCAGAGGCTAGAGTGTGGGGAGCCAGGAGGAGCAAGGCCCATGGGAGATACCAGGGGCGGCTCGGGAGGGCAGGCCCAGGTGGAGTCACATTGGAGCCAAGGTGGGCACAAGGGCAGAGGCCCTGGATCACTGCAGCACTGTCCACACCATGATCACAGAAATGAAAAAGGTACTCAAGTCAAAAACATGCCTCAAGAAAACGTTCTGTGAAACGTAAAGATAGGAGAGGATGAGGACAGGATCAAGATGTGTGAGACAATGGGGACACTTTCTCTTCCTGTTTTTCAGGAATGAGTGTTTCTTGCTTTGGGCTGAAAAAAATACACAAAAAGAAATCAGTGGACTGTGTCTCAGTCTTAGGCAGGATGGGACAGGCACTTCAGCAGGTCGCGGGGCCAGAGCCCCACAGAGGAGTGGGAGGAGCGGAGGTTGTCCTGCAGCCCACCCGGGCTCAGGGCCCCCATCCTAGGCTGCCAGCAAGACGAGCATTTCCCAAATATGGTCTGCAGCCTGCCTTTGGGAATCACAGCCTGTCAGGGGGCAGGCCACCATCCCCCAGTGACCCTACACACCACAGAGCAGCCCGCCAGGTCCCCCAGCCCCTGCCCTGGTGACCACAGGAAGTGCCAGCAGAGTGAGTCACAGGAAAATTCCCCTCTAGCCAAGTCAGAGAAGGTGGGGGTGTGGACAGAGGGGACCGCCCCTAGGAGGCCCCTTACCTCTTAGGAGGGTGGCCCAGGGAAGGCTGGCAGAGGCCCCACCAGGCAGGGCTGGGCACTCAGAGAGGCTGTGGGAACACAGGCAGGGAGGGCGGCAGCTCTGTGGAGGGAAAGGCCTTGCAGGGAGGGCAAGCCTGGCCCAGGTGAGCGGCTGGGGCCTCTGCCCTCGAGGCCCAACCCCTCCCGGCATGAGCTCACTGATAGACCACAGCCCAGTCTGGGGCCACTGGAGCCAGGCTGGGAAGCACCTCACAGGCTGGGCGCGTGGCACTGGGCGCCTGGCACCAGAAGCTCCCCGGCCTGCGTCAGCTGCTGTGCCCCCCCAACCCCCCGCCAGCCTGAGCTCTGGACACTGCTGGTACACAACCGACCGCTACAGCTGGCCAGGGACCCGCCTCTGGAGCTCTCTGCCTCCCTGTCTGTCCCCAGGGATGTGCACTCCTTCCTCCTTGCTAAGCAGCAGCTAAGACTCAGACCTGGGGCTGGCTATGGGACCTTGGGCAAATCCCCTAGACTCTCTTGAGCACCTAGATCCTCTCTGCTGGATGATGACAGCCCTGGTTTCACAAAATTGTTCTTGTTTTTTTTTTAGATAGGGTCTTGCTCTATCACCCAGTACTGCGACTGTGGCTCTCAATGCAACCACCTCTCAGGCTCAAGAGATCCTCCCACCTCAGGGTCCCAAGCAGCTAGGACTACAGGCATGCACCACCAGCCCAGCTAATTTTGTGTAGAGATGGGGTCTCCTTATCTTGCCTAGGCTGGTTTCAAACTCCTGGGTTCAAGTGATCCTCCAGCTCCAGCTTCCCAAAGTGTTGGGATTACAGTTGTGAGCCATCTTGCCCGGCTACACTGTTCTTTTAACAAAAGATTTGTCTGGCCCCTCCTTGGCCAGGCTCCACAGAGATAGCGCAGGCCTAGTGGACAAGGCCTCTGTCCACATGGGGCCTATACTATAGTGGGATAGAAAGACACCAAACAATTTGCTTTGATGGGGAAGAAAGTGGGGGTGCCAAAAATAATGTGAGAGACGGCCTCCCCAAGAAGATGACGTTCCACAGGACTGTGTCTGGGAAGAGCAGCGGGCAAAGGGCCTCAGCCAGGGGGCTGGAGCAGGGAGGCAGGCTGTGAGCCTGGAGGGGTGGGAAGGACTCAGAGGGCAGACTCCATGGATGACTCGGGCACAGCTCAACGACCGTCTTCCACACAACGAGCTTCCCATGGCCAAATAAACCCAGAAGAGCAAAGCCCACACCACTCCAAGCACTGGACACGCTCGCAGGCCCCCAGCAGCTTCCCCAGGAACTCTTGCCACCCTCCAACCTGGGGGAGAGGCCAGCTTCCCCAAACTTACTTTCTTGGCCTCCTGCACTGCTGGGCCTAGGGCATGACCCAAGCTGGGCCAATCAGGTGCTCCTGCCCAAGTTCTCAAGGGACACACCCAACTGTAATCTCAGAGGGGGTACAAAGCCAGCCCGGGGGGACACTGTCAGTCACCTGTGTCCAAGGCACAGTGGACGCTGGCTGCCTGACTCTCCCAGTCTCTGGTACCTCACTGTGCTGCTCCCTACTCCCGTTTCAGGACACGCTGGACCATCAACCCCTCCAGGAAGGCTCCTCCTGGGACACCGCCTCCCCTCTGCCCTCACCTCACAGTACTGCCCAGCATGTCTTGATGCAGCCCAATTCCCACTCCTGGACCCCAGGCACCCAGGACAGGAGGACAAGTCCACCTTCTTCAGCAGGGCAGCTCCACGGCACGTGCACAGAGGAACCCTGGAATGCCCTCGGGGGCTCGCTTATCCCAGAGGGCATGGCCAGATGGGGAGAGCCCCAGCCTGATGCCAGCACTCCCCAAACAATATCCCAGCTGTTGCACATGGGAGCCAACAGGACCACCCCACAGGCTCTGCCTGGCTCTGAGAACGGCCCTCATTGTATCCTGGGGTCCGCCTGGGCACCAGATCCACCCAGGCTGCAGCCATCGGATGGGTGCTGGGGTCTCCTCATTGGCTCAGCCAGATGTCTTGGGAGTCCTGGACGTGCTGTAGCTGTCCCCAGATGCTGACTCTGGGAGTGGGGAAGCTGGAGTTGGGGAGTAGTAAGAGGAGAAGCTGCTGCTCCAAGGAGCCTTCCCTGGTTGCCTGAAGAGACAACCCAGGAGTTCTCAGGCGCAGGGCCAGCCTGAGCCAACTGTAGTGAACACTGCAGGCAACACCACTGACCAAAAGCCCCTCTGCCAGGCCTGGCTCACATCTGGCCTGCACCCTTTCACCCAACAAACGTGACCTCAGCACCCGAAAGCCAGCACAAGGTGGGAGCTGGGAGGAAATGGCCAGAGGAACTCCTGGTCTCCGCCCAAGACCCTGGGGTGGGGACAGACAAGGAAACGAGTAATAGTGTCACACTTGTCACTAGGTTCACAACAATAAGAACAGCACAGTTCCTCCCTGCCAGAGGCAGAGCTCTTTCCCGCATAGCCACCAGCTCATTTAACCTCTGAAACAACCTTATAAGACATGATTACCACCTCCATCTCACTACATAGGGAAACCAAGGCTCAGAAGTTCCCTGACAGCCTAGGGGTCACTGAGTGCAGAAGCAGCAGAGGCCAACCCCGGCCTCAGATACAGTGAATCTGGGTGGCTTGACTTTACCTCCAACCAGGGGTGATGCCTGGGTTTGTGGAAACCATGAGAGGAAATGTCACAGGCCTTCCCCACCCCTCCTGTCCATGCCCCCAGTGCACATGCGCACCCGCCCCAGCACGGAGCCTTGAACACAGCAGGCACTTGGGAAACACTGGCTTCTTTCATACCCAGAACCGTCACAAACTTGGGCCAAGTTTACTTCTGGGGCATTCTATTTGCTTGTCCCAAAGAGCCCCCGTGGCCAACAGATGCAGGCCCAATGAGCGTGCGCCCCACTGGCCATCTGCACCGGCAGCTTCCACTCATCCACACACCACATCAGGACCCCTCCAGGCTGGGTCCCAAACACCCCACTTGGCCCTGGCCCAGGCTCTGAGGGGCAGCATTTCTTCCCCCACCCATGTCCCCATCCTGGGTGGAACTCCAGGACCTGACAGTTTTAGTGGCATCTTCTCCTAATATTCCCAGACAACTGTGTGGCCAGGGTCTGGGCTCAAGTCCTGGGTGCCCAGGTAGCAAGCAGCAAGGGTGTGGGCGGACCACATAGTCTGTGTGCAGGGCCCACATTCCAGAACCATCCCGGGGAGCATGGCTCCTGTCCTGCTGGCCTCAAAGAGGATGAGGCTGGGAAGGCACACAGGCCCTCAGCCCCACCCGTGACGCTCAGCAGCAGGAGGGAATAAAAAGCCACCTGTGGGGTGTCCACTGCCAAGGGCTCCCCGACACAAGCACAGAGCACAGCCTGGCCTTGGCTGCAATGCCACAGCAGATGCCTTTATGCCCAGGGCCAGCTATGGGCTGGAAGCAAACTCCAGCCCCCACTCCTGCCAGAGCATCCCAGGCAGTGTCCCTAAGATGCTGGGCAGAGGCAGTGGCACGGGGAGGGCCCTCCTGCTGCAGGACATGGAACCTGCAACCCAAAACACCCCACGGACAGTGAGGATGGCTGGCAGCCCCCAGACCCGTGCCCCTGAACGCAGGATCAGCAGGGTTCACTCAAGCAGACCAGCTGGAGCTCATGCTTATGATCTGGGAATTTTGGCAGAGAGCTCAGTGTGAGGCTGACCCCTGACTTTGGGGCCAGCACCAGGCCCAGAATAGGAGCAGCCCCCACCTCCAGACCCAACTGTGTCATCAAGGAGGCTGGACCCATCCCCACCCCACCCTCTTTCTGCCCCAGGCTAGCACCTAGAGGTAGCAAGACACAGGTGGAGCCAGGGCCTCTCCTGTGCTCAGAGGGCCAGGAAGGGCCTGACAGAGGGCAGAGCCCCACCCTCTTACAGGGAGACCACCCTGCAGCCCCTTACCTGGGGGTCCCAAAAGACCCAGAGGAAGAGGTGTGCCCAGTGTCTTTGCTGGAGAAATATCCCTGTCACCCAACCCTAAACCCTACACTTCAAGTCTGATACCAATACTGCCTCCTCCAAGAAGTTCCCCTGGAGCGCAGGCACCTCCCCTGCTCGTTTGGTTCTAGCTGCTTCAGCTGGCTATGGGCTTCTGGGAGCAAGAGAGGGAGTTGTCTAGGCTCAGGAGAAAAGGGTGGTGGAACCTCCTAAAGGGACAGTAGATGCCAGGAAAGGGACATAAAAGGCACAGCCTTGAAACCAGAAGGTTCCTACCAAGGTGACAACCCCAAAAGAGCATGGTGGTCTCCAAAGACCAGAGCAGCCCAGTCCCACACTAGGAATGTGGAGGCCACATGTGGTGCTGCACTGGGGACCATGAAAAGAGACAAGGTTCTGGATCCAGTTCTGAGGACTACTGATACCTCTCTCTACCTCAGTGTCCCCATCTGCACCATCTGTATAATGGGGGAGGGGCTTGAGGAGCTGTCTCAGGGCCCTTCCTGCACAGACAGGAGGCCCTAGTGGCACTGTCCTTATTTCCATCCCTCGTTCAGACCTGGGGCCATGGTACCAGCCCACAGTGCTCAACCTCCTGCTCAAACAGTAATGGCCAGAGGCCGTTACTGCCTCCTGCCCCAGCCCAAGGTGACTTTACTGGCAGAACCTAGGACTGCCCAGCCCTGCCTCCACCCAGCTCCCGGGCAAGCAGTGCCAGGAGGAAGTGTCAGCAGCTCCTCCCTCAAGCTCCTTTACCCACAGCCCCCCACCCCGCCCCCGTACCTCGGCTCGGATTCTCCAGGCACCCCAACACCTGGTCTCACAGGTTAGCCAGCCCCCACCACCCAACTCCCCACTGAGAGAAAGGAATGGGCACAAGAGGGGGCGTCACCCGGCCCAAGGCGATGGGAAACATCTCACCTGGCCTAAACCAGCAAAAAAGTTATCAACCCATGGTCATTCTGCGAAGGTGACCAAAGCCGCAGCAGGGCCGGGGAGAGGTGGGGGAAAGGAAACCAGGGGCTCTCAGGAGGGAATGGGAGCCTTGTGGTGGAAAAAGGAGCTGCTGTCCCCGGTCTGGAACTCAAAACTAACATCTTCCAGGCCCTAAGGCCGTAAGCCCGTCGCCCCGCACTCCTCGGCAAATCTCAGCTTTCCCATCTCCCTCATCAGCCTCTCGGACCCTCAACCATGGACTCCAAAGCCACACTGCAGAACCCGGCCCTGGCCCCCTCCCACGACTCTCGCGAGCGGCAAGGACTCCCGTGGCCAGGACCCGGCTTCCACCGGCGCTCGGCGGGTGGGGAGGCGCGCCCGCCCCCACCCCCGCTCCGCTCCCGGAACCCGGCGCCAGCGGCCGGAGTGAATCATTAAACCGAACCCGGGTGCTCCGGCCAAGCCTTACCCGCCGGCGCCACACACTAGCCCGCCCGGCCTCGGTTCCCCGGATCTCCTCCCTCTCCAGGAGCGGTGGGCAGTCCCCACGCCACACCAGATGGACCACCCGCCCGAGGCTCACCGGCCCGTCCTCGCAGACGAGGAAACGGAGGCTCGGGGCAGGGCGCAAAAGGCCCAAGGTGACAGAGCCGGCGGCAGCCGACAGGGGAGCGCGGGCCCCGCCAGCCACTTTCCGGATCTAGGAACCCTCCAGCTTGCCTCCGGCCCCGCCAACACCCCCGAGGCGCGCAGGCTCCGGAGCCCCCGCGGTTCGTGCCTCTCGCCTCTCCCGCCAGGGCGGAAGGAGGTCCCGGGGCAGCGGACCCCGGCCGGCAGTTCCCAGGCCCCGCAGGTCCGGCAGGAAATGCCGCGGGCTTAACCCCTTCCCGCCCGCGCCCGCCCGGGAGCCGGCCGCCTAGAAGCCAGGACGCGGCCCCGCCCCGCCTGGCGCCCTCACCAGGTGGTTCATGGTGTCCGGCGGGCCTGGAACCCCCGCTCCCCCGAGGGCGCACACCGAGCTGCCCGGGCCGCGAGCCCTCGGGGCTCCAAGAGCGCCGCGGCCGCCCCAGTACCGCCGCGCAGCTGCCGCCTCGGCCGCCCAGACCGATCCAGCCGCCCTCCGCCCGCCGCCGCGGCCCAGCCTGCCCAGCCCGATCCCAGCATGCCCGGTCGCACGCGGTCATTGGCCGCCGCAGCTCCTCATGCAAATGAGCCGCCTGTCGGGGGCGCAGACGCGCGGGCAAAAGCCCGCCCAGTGGGGCCGCCCCCCCGCCCCGCCCCGCCCCCCCACTGCCCACCCTCCAAGCCCCTGCCCCAGGCCGGGCTTCCAGCCTAGGGCGCAGGACACCGCTTTGCCAACAAACGTACTTCCCCGCCTTCCACCCGGGCGAGAACGCACCGAAGGCCTACGCAAACGCCTCCACTTCTGGGACGGCTGCCCGGATTGCCCTCCTTCTACAGAGCCGAGACGCTGCCTCAAGCCTTCTGTCTTGCCTGCTAACCAACCCCTGGGCATTCATCGCGTGTCCATGGGCCGTGGGACTCAGATCTGAATCTAGAGAGAAAGGGGAGGGGACGTGCCCCAGCCTGCAGGAAAAGAATCACCACCATCACAGCTCTGGCTGTGGACCCACCATGTAAGGGAGGACCCAGGAAATAAAGCCTCAAGCAGGGAGGCTGGCGAGCTCTCAACCCAGCGCTTTTCACCTGCAGCACCGGCCTTTCCTTGCATTGTGCCAACATCTGGGGACTCGGGCTGGTTCTCCAGCTGATCTGCCTCCACTCATTACTCATTCCTGGGCTCAGCCTAAAACCTGGGCCCAGTACCCTCCTGAGTCCTGCTCCAACTCACGTGCTTCAGCCACATGGGGTAGGAAGGTGGCATTCCGGGAATGAGGGAGACAGAAGGAACCCGGGGGGAAACCGAGTGGAGACAACCTTGGCTCTCCTGAGTCGCCCCTTGCTTGGCTGCAGGTCAGTGACTGTCACTCCATGCAGCAGAACCAGGGTGCCAGAGACCCTGGGCCAGGCCAGGGATGCACAGTCTGCAGGGAGATCATAGGACCAAGCCTGCTCCAGACTAGACAGGACCCTCAGTCAACAATCCTGGGCCACTGGCTGAGCAAGGGGATGCCATCAGGCAGCTCTGGTAGCAGGGAAGCAACGGGGTAGACCCAGCTTCACGCAGCAGAGAATTCTCAAGCATGACCTATGAAAGACACAAGCCCAGGTGGGCGTGCAGCTGCCCCCCTGCCTGACACCCAGGGCTCAGCCGATGCCGACGCAGCACCTGCCTAGATGTGCTGCCTTGGCAGGCCCTCTGCCCTCTCTGGGCTCCTTTCTCATCTGAAAAGGAAGGGACTAAAACAGCCCAGGTCCCCTGGGGAGCTTGTTAAAAAACAGACTCCTGAGTCCCACCCCTCCTAAAAACTGGACATCTGCATTTCCTCAATATTTGGCTTGAGAACCATTGGCCAGGACTTTCAGCACAGTGGGTGAGGAAGGTGCAATGAGATGGGACACAGTGTGACCCAGAGTCCTCGGGAGGAACAGGACAGCTAGCCAAGACCCTGTCTCCCCAGCACAGCCCACCCCACCTCAGAATAGGAGCCAGCTGTCAGGGAGGCTGCCTGGAGCATCTCCTCCTGCTTGTTCCCAAGAGCTGTGCCCGGTCCCTCCTGCACCCTGACCCTGTACAGCCACCCACGCCTCAGCCTGGCTGGCACACCAGCTTCCCAGGGAGCAGATCTGAACCAGCAGGACCCTCAGGAGACTCAGATTATCCCTGGGCCTCCACTTCTGTGGCGAGGGGAGGGAACCAGGCCTCATGGGCAGGCAGTGCTCGCAGGCAGGGCTCCAGGCAGCAGTCCCTGTAGGGATGAGCAGGGATACATAAGGCCTGGCCCTCAAGGGAGTTGGCCCCTGCTCCATCCTAGCTGACCAAGCAGCAGGGTGCAGAGAGGAGGTGGATGGCTAGGACCTTGGGGGATGAGACCCTCCTCCCCCAGGAGCGGGATTAGAGCAGTGCTGGGGGTGGGGCTGCTGATGTGAGCGAGAGGCAGCAAGGGGAACAGGCTCCAACACAGGCATTTCAAAAATTTGCTCCTTTTCCACTTAAATTCCCTCCCCCCAAGCCTGTGCCTCCCAGAATGGTATTTCCGCTTTGGAAACAAGGCCCCAGGAGCTAAGCCCCACTGTGTGGATGGGGATGTAGCTGTGGGGTGGGGGAGGATGCCCCCAAGGCTGTTAGGTGGGGGAGGAGCACCCACTGGGCAGGCTCTGGCTGGGGTATATGGGGTAGGAACTCACCTCACCCCTAGTCCAGCCTCCCCGACCTCTGCTGCCAAGGACTGGGATGCAGTCCCATGTACCCAGCACAGCCTCGGTGCCAGGCCAGTGCCAGGGGCCCTAGGACCATGCGCTTATTTTGTGCAGACAGCAATCTGGCAAAACAGGCTTCACCATCAGCCCCATTTTTTGTTTTGTTTTGTTTTTGAGACGGAGTCTCGCTCTGTCACCCAGGCTGGAATGCAGTGGCGCTATCTCGGCTCACTGCAACCTCCTGGGTTCAAGCCATCTCCTGCCCCAGCTTCCCAAGTAGCTGGGACTACAGGTGCATGACACCAAGCCTGGCTAATTTTTGTAAATTTTTAGTAGAGACGGGGTTTCACCATATAGGTCAAGCTGGTCTTGAACTCCTGACCTCAGATGATCCACCTGCCTCGGCCTCCCAAACTGCTGGGATTACAGGTGTGAGCCACCGCGCCTGGCCTAGCCCCATTTTTCACATGAAGAGACCAAGACCCAGTTTACCAACCACTGCCCTATCCTACACACTTTGGGGCACAGAAGGGACAGGGCCAGGGAAGAAATGGGGCTGCTAGACCTCAGCCCACCCTGCAGCAGGAAGGGAATCTAGGGACAGGGACAGCAGAACTCCAGGCTCAGAAAGCCAAGGACCCCTGTCACACATCAGACTGCAAAAGAACAGGTAGCTGAGACCTAAGCACCCTCCTCCCCTGCTTGATGCTCACCAGTGTCCACTGCAGCATTTATGACAGCTATCATGGAGCGTAATATCAACACCAACTCTAGAGGACTGGTGAGACACGACACCCCCTCAATAGAATAGCTTGCAGCTATTAAGTAGATGGCCTCTTCCAAAGACTGAAATAATGCAAGAATATGCTACAACAAAGTAAAGTGAAAAGAGCAGGCTAAAACTAGCTTGCACAATGTAAAGGCACATAGCCCCTTCCCCTCTTGAAGCCTTAGCTTCCCAGCAGCGGTGAGGGTGGGCTGGCCCGCCCAGCTGATGGCCAGCTCTGGGAGCGGCAGTAGGAGAGGATTTCCTGAGGCCGGAGGTGAGTACTGCCAGCCCCAGGGACAGGAAGAAATGATGTCTCTGGAGGGCCAATGAGAGCTGACACCATCTCCCTAGGCTGGACTCTCACAGAGGCGAGCTCAAAACCCAGGCGAGGCCGGGCAAGGTGGCTCCCATCACTTTGGGAGGCTGAGGCAGGTGGATCATTTGAGGTCAGGAGTTTAAGACCAGCTTGGCCAACATGGTGAAACCCCGTCTCTACTAAAAATACAAAATTAGCTGGGAATAGTGGTGAGCACCTGTAGTCCCGGCTACTCAGGAGGCTGAGGCAGGAGAATTGCTTGAACCCAGGAGGCGGAGGTAGCAGTTACCCAAGATCGTTCCATCACACTCCAGCCTGGGGGACGGAGCAAGACTCTATCTCTAAAAAAAAAACACCAAAGAAACAAAACCCAGATGAGGGCATGGGACCCTTGCGGATGGCACAGAGGTAAGCCTGCTGTCACACACAGACTGGACATCCCACACCCCTAACACCAGTCCTTCCTCACTGCTGCCTGGGGACCAGGACGGAACAATGGCGACCTGGAGGCAGAGTGAGGGGCGATGCCACAGGCAGCTCCCACGGCCAGCAGAGCTCACTTCTCCCTACCTCATAACCCAGGTGTGTCCCCACAGGAAAGCAACCCACATGACTCCAGACAGCAGAGACTGCCCTCAGGTCTCAAGCTGGAGCTGTCACAATAAAGGGTTTTCCCATCCTCCCCTGCTCTGGAGGGTGGAGTAACCGCAGGGCAGTGTTTGTCATTACAGTAGCTGCTCCAACTGTGGGAAGGTGGGCGGACCCTACGGCCTGAAGCTAAATCCCTCCAGTGGTCCTCCCCTTTGGCATGCCCAAGGCCAGTCTCCAGAAACCTGGGGTCAGGGACAGACCCAAGGTGTGTAAGCAGAGCTGCCAGGCAGAGGACACAGCACAGGGGTGGGGTGGGGCCTCCCTGCACTCCAAATCCTGTTGGCATCCCAGGAAACCCAGCCCTGTGCCTCCATGTCAGGCCTGTCAGGAACAGCACTGGAAAAGGCAGCACAACTTTCTCAATTATCTGGAAATTAACAAGCAGCAGAGGCCCCTGCTGGAGGTGCCTGCTTCAGAGAGGAGCTCTGCTCACAGTGATCCGAGGCTGGAGTGGGCCGGCAAGGCAGCCCCGGGGGCACTGTTCAGAGGCTCTCCACCCACCCCAGCGACCCCTTCCTCTTCTGCACCCTCCTCTCTCAGCTCTCCCCTCCTGCCAGGCCTCCTGGGGCCTGGCAGGTGGGGACAGGCACCAGCACAGGGCCCTCCCAGACAGGTCCTCCTGGACCAGGGGCACCCCTGTGTGCAGGGAGGAGGGGCCATGTGCGCTCTGCCCCCTGCTGACCCCCATGTCCCCCTCCTGCATCAGCACCCTATGGCAGAGGCAGCCCCTCAGCACTGCCTGGGGGAGGGGGAAGAGAGGGGCTCAGTCCTGGCTGGAAGCGAGAAGGAGGAGCAAGGGGGCAAGTTCTGTCCTCATCCTCAGAGAGAAAGCTCCAAAGCTCCGCAGCTAGGGGCTGCCCAGCTCTCTGCTGACTGGCTGGGTGGGCAGGGATGAGGGTGTGGTCAGGAGGCCTCCCCAGCCCAGCCCAGCCATCTGCTCTCCCATGGCAACCAGCCCCAGCGCACTGGGCGGAGGGGCGAATTCACACACCATCTGCTGCCCACTCCCAGCCGCTTCCGCAGAACACAGGTGCCCACACCCACATATACCCACCCGGCCACTCTGCTGGGGTCAGCAGGCCAGGGGCCAATGGAGTCACAAGAGGGGGATCCTGGGGGCTCTGGGTGGCAGTGATGTAAAGAGTGGATACAGAGAAGACAGAGTTGTGGCAGCCACAGGGAAA